GTATATATTGATAGCTAGGTAAAAATTGAGAAGTCATTACGTCTATAAATAATAATATACAACCTTTCAACTGAGCAAGCGTGACTACCAGTTGCTTGGTTCAACTTCCTAGGGACGGCTGTGAAATTATCCTCTGTGACTTAGTCAGCACGAACTCCACGACACAAGGCTTTTCTGTGTAGCCTCGGTGCAAAAAAGTGAGCGCGTATTGACGATCTGACCTGAACAATTGCACCACCAGACGACTGGAGTGAAGCCAGCTACACATACTGGATCCCGCGCTAAGAACTCACTCCAGTCCTTTCACGAGCAGTTGAAATATCAATAAAGTCTAGAAATATGATAAAGTTCCGAATTGGAGGCAGAACCTGCGGCGGATCTCATTGCACCACATCGTGGTATCATTTCAACAAGCGACCAAAGGTTCCATAGGTAATTTGTCACAAGCTGAGTCTGAAATAATTCTCAATGACAAATAAGACCCTTAATGAGGGCACTGAGTGCGTGCAAAGCCGCGTCAATGACGGAGGATGAGCTTATCTTCTTCTAAGTGGTCTCGCCGTCTTGTACCCCTTATTTTTGTAACATCTTAATTTTCTATCAGGGCTTTCAGCTTAATAAGAGTGAACCACCCAACCTGAGTCGCTTAACTTTCGTGTATGCTCACAATTTTCTAATAACCCGTGGAACCTTAATGCTTTGCACCCTAGATTATGTGCCTGCCCTTTCAGCTGTACCTTCATACAGTGACTTGAATGATCCATTTTTTGCAACATCAGGTTCGGGATCTTCTACAGGAGACTCATATCGTTTATTTCCACCGAGAAGTGCCATGGAGACCACAGCCTGAAGCCGTTATTAATGTGCCTAAACAGCATTCACAGCTCTGGCCTATATGAATGTGCGCCGAAAGCTATCACGATTCACGATTGAGTATAATTGTTATCCATCTTGCCCTTAGCAAAAACGCTTGATATATAATAAAACATATCAGAAGATATTTTGTCATACTCATGATACATAACGAATCTCGAGAACGTCATTGCACTGAACTGCGTGACCACCATTTTTTGTTTGTTTGCTGAAATTGTATGCCCCCCGAAGAGCGCACAGTGTTTTTTAAATGGGACAAACGCAATATTGTCTCACTAATATGGGTGATGATAATGCAATTAACATTTTTACAGAATTTACCCAATTTCTAATTAATAGTTTGGATGTGTTTCTTGGGCTTTTGGTTGAAGAGAAGCTATTGATACGATTTGACTTGCTGTGATTAATATTCGCGGCTATAATTCAAAGCAAAATCGAGAATTTTACTTCGACAGAGTGTCACGCAACAAGTGCGCGAAGCGCCAGAGACATACAGATTGTCAAAGGCAGAAAAATCAAGGTGAGTTTGTAGTGGGTGTTAAATTTGTGGAAGCAGTTAATCTGCCAATGCATGCAGTGTCTGATGTTTTTGATACCAAGATCCTCTCACACTATATCGAACATATTACGGTCGTAGCCAGAAAAGTTAGAAGGACACATGAGCAATAGATGCAAAACTCAAAGTGAATCAGTTCGTGAGCTAATATCCACCTCTAAGCCTGTCTTGATTTGAGTGTCACAGTCGCCATCTATAGCACAATTAGTCTTAGGCGAAGTCATTCCAGTTAGGGAAAGCCGTTCCGGTATCTAACTGTAATATACTTGCTGGATGAAGGGTTTCATTTTCAACATCCTCCAACTCAGCTCGAAACTTTCAAATTGCAAGGCAGTGACTGGCTTCGACATCAAGTCCACCTTCATGTCCTTTGCTAAGCAATACACAAGCCCCACTAAGCCGTCATTAACCCTCTAACGCACAAAGTGGCGTTTTGCCCCAGCATGGAGGTCGCTTCGCGCAAGTATTTCCGGTGATACCCTTTGTTATGCACCTGGCACGTTCCTTCTGCCATCGATCTGAAGATGTGGACATGTCCAAAACTGTTATTAATCACCAAACACAAACTTTGCCAAAATTTTGCTGTAACGCGTGGAAAATGTAGCCACCAGCGAGCTATCCTGGCGGATAGCTGTGGTGAGGAGCCCGGCTGTGTCCTTTTGTACGAGTTATCATGATCACACAGACCACAAATTTACATTAAAAGACTCCTACGTTCGGGGACGTTAGTCTACCCAAAAAGTTTTGCAAAAAGGGTAAAATTCTTTGACTCCAGCCGCACCGCCATCCAAAACACGGCAATGTATTCCGCGCGCGGTCCTCGCGAGCTCGTGGCTGCTTGTATGGACCAGATTTCCCTTGAAGGAAGTGCAGGTCTTACAGTAACGTCTCTTTTCTCGTCTCTGGAGCCGAGTAATGATGTGTTTCTGCATCAACAAGTGTGGCGGCTGTTGCGGTCAAGTCGCGGTGTCTTGCGCTTCTTCCGACGCGCCATACTGTCACCAAATAAAAAGCGCAAGCGACCTGGCACAACCGAAAGCTATGAAGTTAGTGTCGATATGAAGGGTGAGATGCATGGGCCTGAAATACACGGCCCGAACGACATTTTGATGCTGACGACTGAGGAACTGGAGCTGCTCACATACGAAGAAGCCGTGGCAATGCAGCAGGAAGTAGGCACAGAGATAGTAGTTATAGCATGCGAGGAGCTTCGACATCGAGCGCTTAATATACCGTTAAAGGCTATTGCCGCTGATCTCGGACCTGAACATTTCGGTATTCTTGAAGCAGTGGGTCGTGCGCGCATCCAGGGAGTAACAATCAACAAGTTGACGTATATACTGAAAGGTATAACCGTCAAAAGACTGCACAATTGTCTTGACACGCTAATCTCGTGCGGTTTGGTAGCCAAGCGAATGATGATTGTGACCCGGCCCACAATGAGACGATTGAATATTATTCACCTGCCGCGATTTGCTGACAAGTTTCAGCCTCAGATGTTTGACGAGTCGGCGAGTTTTGAATTTGATGAGCAGAGTCGAAAAATTTTGTGCGTGGCAGCAGAAACATATTTAAAAGGATTGCCGACGTACTCATCAGTGCTGTCGGATCTCGGACGCGACCTTTGTTTGCAAAAGCGACATTTGGAGGTACTTCGTTCCCATATAACTCAAGAGTGCAAAGCGGATGAGAACTTTTCGCTGGAGTTGTTTCAGGCTGTATTGCAACCGTCGCAACGTGGTAAAATCGAGCCTAAAATCTTAAATTGCGTGCGGTACAAACCTCCGAACACTTGCAAAAACGCGGCATACTGTCGTGGTATCGTGTTAGAGCTTGGGCTGCTCCATCAGATTTATAGAGTCATTGAGGCCAACTCTGAGATCGGAACCACGATTATTGATTTGCGGAACCAAATTGTACTACCAGGAAGTAAGTTACCGTATAAATTAGTGGGTATCTTGGCGGGAATGTACAGCTTGAAGGCAGAGTCGATCATCCTGGGAAAAAATAAAGCTTTTCGACTGTATCTTGACTCGACAGCTCCCAGCGCTAAAAACATGTACAGCAAAAATCAAAAGAAAGGCACTTTCGATGACACTTGCTTGCCACAAGAGAGTCGGTTTATTGTCACGACAAATGAAGACGAAGTTGCAACTGACGTAATTATGGAACGACAATCTACACCTCGAGTTAAGATGGCCTTGAAAGTTGCACTTCGTGGATTAGAAGTTGATGGTACGAATGCTCGACGTCGCCAGCACATTTTAGATAGACTCAATGATGAGAAAATAATAAGCTTATCGTCGTTGCGCGAAAGTGTTTTTGGTATGGAGAAACAGCGCGCCGAAACTAACATTTTGCCACATTTTACAGACGTGAAGGACGAGATATCGACCCACAGTAATGCAAACAGCTTAATGTTGCCTACTACAGTTGGAAAAGTAGATACTCGGTCAATTTTCCGCATCGCAACTGAGCTCGAAGGTGCAAAAAAGTTACGGCTTTTACAGCTTCCATTACCTGCACAAAACGTTTCAACCAAATTTCGCGCGCTGCGCTGTGTGGTCGCGCCTGGATATGAAAACAAAGATGCTTTTATTCAACGTTATGTGAAAAATTATTGTCGTGATGAGCGGTTGCGGCGCATAAATCGAAAGGCTGATCAGAGCAAAGTGATTCGATTTGACAAGATTGGGGATGAGCAGGACGAGAAACCTAAGCATAAATTTGCGCGTAAAAGACTGAGAAAGGAGTTCACACTGGCTGCATCAAGCTCTGGAGAGAACAAGAAACAAAAATCAAATCTGGATGGTGAAATAGATGCCCAAACGCAATTAGGTGGTCAGGTATCAGACATCGAAGCAGCACTGAGGACACCAGCATCATATGCTCAAAATGAAGTTAGTTACAGGATCCGGTGCTTTGTGAGTCAGCAGAAATCGGGAATTCACTATCAGCAATTCCGAAAGCTTGGGTTTGCTTACGGTGTGATGTATCGGTGCAAAGCTTTACATCGGTTCTTGTGGGATGCTTTGCACAGAAGCGACGTAAACTTTCAGCTCCCTGGCGAAGAAAAGGATACAACAATAAAGAGTTTGAACGAGGTCAATGGTGATTGTAGAAGTAGGGCCGCTCCACATCAAGCTCCTTTGCCAGGGATTGTGTTTTCGCGAGAATCGATATTACACTCGATGCCCGTGCATTTATATATTCAGATTTTTTCAGGCGGAGGAGTTTTGACAGATGCAGAATTTGCCATCGTCGAGGAAGCCGTTAAGCATCAGCGCACGTTTGAAGCTATTCCAAAAAAGCTTTGTAAAAAGATATGGTGTCACGAGTCTCAACGCACTGCAAAAGTATTGGGTACTCTTGCAGATTTAGGGTTGATCCAGCCACACAAGATTGGAATGAAACACTTGGTCGAAATTCTGCGAGCTGGGTACACCGACGGGCGAGACGGTGTACTCTCTCGCGCGCTAAAGGACAACGCATTAGGTGGGCTATTTCGTTTCAACAAACAGGTCAGAATTAGATTAAATGATCATGACAACACGTGCAGCGACATTCAGACTACAAACGAATGCCGTGATGTGAATGATCTTGATTCGATTCGAATCGTTGGTTTTACCGAAAAAACGTATAGCTTTGCAAGTACGCTACCGCTCACGTTTTCATTTCAGTCAAGCTGTGATGTTGATCGCTTTTGGGAGGCTCTTGAGTGCCTTTGCCTGGAGCAAATGACTATGGAAGTAGAGACTCCAAGGAGAAACGAACCAGCCGTGCGTGAGGTTCCGAAGCCTGTTAAGACGCGTGCTCGACGAATGCTGCGGATTCTCGCTTGGATACCGAAGTCACAAAAGCCTGTAGCCAAGCAAAAGCGCGATGAGGGGAGCCACGGAGATAATTTTAAGAGCAGTGGCATTGTTTCTACTATTTCGAGACCTCGCAAAAAGCGACGACATGCCGAATGTGGTGGTGAGAATAATAATCTGCACAATGGAGCGAAGCGAAAACATAGAAAAAAGTACCCTGCTATAATGGAAGATGGTCAGTCAAAGGTAGAATCCATTACTTGGCTGGATGTGCACGAACAGCTTTTGGATAAGTATTTCATCGACAACTGCAAAAGCCGATGGAAAGTTCCCATTCCCCAAGGCTTACAGCGTGACAATGAACGGGTGGCTTTCCGGAACCACACAGTTTCACGAACAGGCTTTGGTCTAGTGACCATTGCACGGAAACTAGGCAAACGGAGGATTGACGTGAAAAGACGGTTGAAAGAAAGACTAATGGAGCCTACGGTAAAAGTCGCGTATGAGAACGCGAAACTGGAAGCGAAGCTTGCTGATAACCCAAGCGGCCTTTTTGACGAGGAAATTGCAATCCAAGAAACGAGTAGAATGACAGCACTCTTTCGGCGTGCAGTAATGATGATCATGTCTCCACGCGAAGATTACCATCCGCTGGTTGCCGAAGAACTGATATCTTCTTGGTCCTCGCAAGAAATCCGACTGGTTTGGCGATATCTATGGCTTAAAAATTGGATTGTGCGCGCGCCCGAAAAGGAAAGGGGCCGAGGGTACTCGACCAGCAAGCGGCTGCAAGATATACTTAAGGTAAATACACTGTCGTATCCATTATTATTATTTCAGCAAGCTGCGGAGCAAGAAAGTTTGGTGTGTTCAACACTGGAGGAAATTGATGTGGACTCCAAAGATGCGAAAATATCCAGCATGTTTTGTGTTGACCCTCAATATAGTGATCAGCTTTTCGAGAATGACTTTCCTACGAATGCTACACCTGGTCAATGTGCTCTCGAGCTAGGATGTCAGGTACTCGGCACGTGCTCGTTTACAGCAGTTCACGTCTCAGCTTCCGACATAAACACGAAATTTGAAGATTTGATGGCCATCACCCAGACAATTCGCATGAGGGCACCGACTCCAGGCGCATGTAACAGAGATAACAGCTTTACCTGCACGACTTTGAAGGGCAGAGCTGGTTTTGCTGCACATTTAGCCAACAAGGTAAATGTTTCAAAGGCGTCGGATTTCATTGACAGCTGGCGAGTGGAGACGAAGATGCACGCAGTGTCTGTCGAGGATACAGATCTACTGAGCGCTAACGAGGCTTTTTCGCTCGAAGAGATCTGCGACAATGCAAGATTCCACCAATTTCAATATGCCGAGAGAGTGGATGAAGAGCTGAGCCACGCTGTCGCTGTGCATGTGCGTGAAAGTGGGGAGGAGGGCTTGACTATGCTATCTTTGGTAATAAAATGTCGTAAACCAAAATGTACAGAGAACGAAAGATCGTTGCGCATTCGTGTGGCGCGCTGTCTGGACGCACTCGTTGAACAGGGCCAGCTTATCGTTGTTAACGCGTATTTTGAACAGCGTTATATTGTTAAAGAGCATGGGGACGTGTGGATGCTACGGCCGTACTTACTGATTTCAGGTACCTCACCAAGACCCAAACTTCTTTTTGAGGAGGGAAAGAACACGCTATCGTTTCCATGGCTGAAAATGGACGGCGGGACAAACTATACATTTCTCTTCTCAATTCAGCGCAAGCTGCTAGCGCTTATAATTCAGGCACCGGGTATTTCAGAAAAGTGCGCTTACTTTAAGATGAATAAATTATTGTCCTTGCAGGATACTCGCGAGGCAATGTCAATGCTCGCAGAGAACGGATTAGTCTACGCCCGTGCAGTTACCAATTCTACGTCGACACAAGTCGCAAGTTTGTTTGGCTGCTCGGTGAGTCAGCCGTCTGTTCACAAGATCTTTAAATTGGAGGATAATGTGCTGTCTTATGATCGCTCGGTGTTTCAAGTGCGCTATTTTCCTCACGTCGAGTGCATTCAGCGATTTGGAAGTATCGTTCAAGACTACCAAAATATCGTATTTCAAAATGATTGATCGAGGAACAGGTTCTTAAAGTTTCTATGACTCGAGGTAGGCTATATATGTGTGTAAATAAATTATTTATCCCTTCAAACTGTAAGGAATGTCTAGTACTGAGAGTAAGTAATTAAAACAAATTTGTTGGTATATGTCGACAGCCTTTCATTAAATTATCTTATACAGCCTAGCTCAGAAGTGCCATCCGTGTACCACACCATTTGTTTATTACTTCCACGCGTACTGTATTTCTTTTGAAAAGCGCGGATGATCATATTTGTACAATTCGCTTTCAAATATGTTCGTTTCCGCCACCACCTAACAAGTTTCGCTCCACTTTTTCGTTGGTATGTCTTAGTCGTGGATACCTACTTGCATGCGATGCCTTCTTCAATCGTTCAATTTCTATAGCACTTCAGGCAGTTTACTGCCTCGACCCACTTGTCATATTGTACTTTCCACATTTCCTGTCCATATATATATATTGTACTCCATCATTCAATTGTCCTATTGCAATGCTTTCTTACGACGTTGCGGCTTGTTTTCTGCTTCCACAGCTCTTCGTGCATATTTTGTTCGTTTCTCGTGTTTCTCTCAGCTTTTGTATCGCTGCGTCATTCTTTCTCAAAACTAGCATCATTCAAACGTTGCCAGGTATCGCTATATTGTCGTTTACTGCTTTGATATTCTAACGGTTTGGAAAGCGGAGAGAATAGAAACGGATACAATTTCATGGGATACAAACCCAGCTGCCTACTATGAATTTCAGCTTTTCCTATTCCACCCAGCGACTTGCTCTTAATATGGTCAACCAAGATGCATGGCGAATCAATAGACGCATTTCACGTAAGACTGCCTTGGTGAGTCCCCCGAATAAGCGCTGCATATTAAGCGAGGTATTCCAAAATTCTAGAGACACGTCCCATGCAAATCGTACATGTAGGCCATGCCCGGAGCATTCACTCCATCATCACATTGCTTGCCTGGCCTGTTGATTTCTTTACTTGTCGTCGGACTCCGGTAGCTCTGCAAAATACCATCATTCTTGAATCCGTTCCAAGACGTGAATTTTGTGGCCTGATCTCTTTCCGAAAGCCATAAAAGTGCCTAAATTCAGATGCTACCGCAAATTTTATTTTGACAAGGCACACTTTTAATTTATCTCGGTCACTTCATCAATGACATTGAGTCAATCACTTGATCCTTTGGACGAGAGCAAATGACTCAAACGAAGGACTTTATTTCGGATCCCTTCTTGACTGCGCTTTAGTTTGTTATTCTTGCCAAATTCGTTTTGTTGTGTGTTTTGTCTTCAGACGTGGAATTGGCGGTCATTATATACACTGCCATAGCATGAACTACCAAGACGTCGCGATAGCACACAAGCGCTCACCAGATTACAGGTATAGATCTCTTCACCATCGCGGTAAATGCTCATTAACTTTCCGTTATATAATATATTGAACTCAACATTTCATCATGGAATTCTAATGCCGTGACTCCAGTATTTTTTATGTTCACGTATATCAATTAAACCAACCACACACTTTGAAATCAATTGGAACTTTTCATAAGCTTTTAAGCGTTTGCAAAATAATATTTGAATGCAAAGTCTGGAACACAAAGTTTGTATTTTTATCCCCCATTTTATGTACGAAGCTATGTAATAGGTTTGCCATAGGGGAACATAATTTGAAAAATATCTCTTAATTCTCCCTTGATCTGGTATCAATTTATGTTTTGGCAGATCTTGTCAGGCGACGTCCTATCAATACATATCTAGTCAAGACAATATTGTCATTCGCGCTCTTGAATGATAAAAGAGCCTCCGCCACATTTATTGCTTATGGCAGCACAAGCGTGTCTCTTAACAGTTTCCGTCAACGGCATGTACTCGGGTGCAGAAAACAATGAACAACGTCAACGTCTATTTCTGTATATAACAACCCGATTCCAGCTATGAAAGTGTTTGCTCATCCCCACGATCCTGCTAGTGCATCTACTGGCCAGGTCGAATGAGTCCGTGTCTCACTCTTAATGGGAGCGCATACACTACCCATTATTGTATCTTTTCGTGGAGAGGTAAGGACTTGAGTGTATCAAATCATTAGTGGCACTGTTACCGAGGATATCTTGCAGAATAGGACCTTAAACTCCCGATAGAGCTCGAAGCAAAGGTATATCTTCCACTTCACCAGATAATTGCTCCACTCCTGATGAACTCGTCTGCCCGCTATCCGATCAAAATGGAAACGGACATCCTCTTTATTATTGATAAGGACGATCTTTATTGCAGCGAGCTGCCGTAGCTTAGCGCTTGAAAAAACGTTTTTTAGGTCACCGACCTTTCATTCTTTACAAGC